GGCACTCCTGTCTCAGTCAGACTCTATTCCATTCCACTCTACCCTCGGCCACTGTTTAGACATTGAGTTCAATGATTACTGCTAGTTGTTTCCCCTCATTCGTCTACTTTTGTATCCGTATTGGACTGTTTGCTGACCTCTATCTAAACCCTTATCTATGCATGCATCAATGGTGTTTTTGTTCTTGTTCTGTCTCTCTCCCTCGCTGCGCTGTATCACGTATGTAGCCACATTCACTTTGCTGTCTGTCGTTCATTAAACCACTAAGTGATTCTAACATCCCATGAACGGTCTTATCCAGCATCTCTCACATCATCACCATCATCATCGTACAGCGACATACAGTGAAGCGAACTTCTCTGACGAAAGCCATGCTTTGTAGCTCGTTGAATTATAGACGTGCACTAGTCATCAGACCACGTCAAGGTGCAGTCTCCTCCAAGTTTGTTTCCGTTTTGGCTTTTTTCTTAATCACCTGATAAAGCTTTTCTCGACTTGACTTGAATTGATATGAATAAAATCCGTGCAACATGAAAATCAATAGATCTATTTGGTCGTCTTACCTCGAGACTAAAATTATTTTTGCTTCACACTATCTGTGTGTTTCAGACACGATTATTCTTCTTTTTACAATGCCGATGTAGGGGAATGCATTGGGAAGTAATGTGCAACTTCTATGTGATTGCTAAAACAGTCTGTGTGATCGGTGGATGTCAGTCGGTTGTTTTTTCTCTTGTCCGGTCATGGAACCAGAACATCGATTACGTTTCTTTTCGATTTCGTCATGATTTTTATCCCCTACTAAACGGGTTTTTGCATCAAAAATTAAGGTATACCCTTGAAAAATGCAAACGTATTGGTGCTCGGGCCTATTGCCTACTAATTTGTTATCATTGTGCCATAGTTTTGATAACTACGTTACCTCAAAACGTTCGTCGTCGTCCGTTTGGAGACGCCTAGACATCTTTTGGTTTCTTGTATTACTCTCATCCAATTCTATTCTATGGTATTTCACACACATCTGAATCCAGACTGTGCCAAACAAACCGTATA